CCCGCCACAACACCAGGCTATTTTATTTTATTTTTTGGCCAGGGCTAGGTTTGAACCTGCTACCTCCGGCATATGGGGCTGGCGCTCTACTCCTTTGAGCTACAGGTGCTGCCCCAACACTAGGCTATTTTTACAGATGAGGTCTCACTCTGGCTTAGACTGGTTTGGAACCTGTGAGCTCAGGCAATCCACTTGCCTTGGCCTCTCAGAGTGCTAGAATTATAGGCTTGAGCCACCTTGCCTGGCCAGATTTTCCATTGCTAAGCCAATCCTGTGTTCCTGACATAAACTCCATTTGGTCATAAGGTACTATCTTTTTTGTATATTGTTGAACTAATTTCAATAAAATTTTGTTTAAAATTTCTACATTTATGTTTATGAAGGATGTCAGTCTATAGTGTTCTTGTATCTTTGATTTAATATGAGATGGGAAATGTTTTGTCTTTTTCTCTTTTCTGAAATAGTTTGTCTGGAGTTGGTATTATTTCTTAGGTGTTTAGTAGAATTTACCAGTAATACTTTTTTAGTTGTTTTTCTTTTATGTTTTACTTTTTTCCTACCTAGCTTGGTAGAGGGCAAGAACATGTTGTGTGAAAGATGCAGGACCTTTTGGTGTAGTCTTTCTACCCTTAATGGGATTTATACTGTATTCAAAAAATATATATAAATGGTCAGTAGTAGTTATCTCTGTGGAATTAACATTAAAAAATAAAAAATAAATTCCAAACACTAAATTTAATTTTAAAACCAATAAAGCCATTCTAAGGCCAGATGTGGTAGCTTATACTTTATCATCCTGGCACTAAGATAGGAGGATTGCTTGAGGTCAGGAATTGGAGACCAGCTTGGAGAATAGTGGGCCATCATCTCTGCAAAATAAAATTAGCTGAATGTGGTAGTGCACACCTGTACTCCTAGCTACTCAGGAGACTAAGCCAGAAGGATTGCTTGAGCCCTGAATTTGAGGTTTTCGTCTCAAGAAACAAAAAAAGCCATTCTAGATTCCTTACATGGTCTTAACCTTCAGGACCTTAATAGGTTATGGTCCACAAATAGATTCTTACTCATTTCTGGACATAATTTAGGTTCTTTATTCAGTTTAATATTTATCACACACCAAAGTTTTTGCCTTCTATGGCATAGCCTAACTTGGATATATAGCAGGGAAAACATTAAACACATTCTAGTCCCAAAATGTGTGTGACTATGTGACTAGTTCCTGGTGCTAGAAGAATCTCTAGATTGACTAGGGTAGGTGTAGTGTACTGTAGTAGCTTACTGGTGTCATGGCCAAATGGCATATCAAGGACTATATCGTCAAAAGAAAAATAAGCTAAACTAAAGAATAAGGAAAAGGTGACTCGTGTCCATTTCTAAGATCAGAAAATGATAATCAGTAAGTTAGGAGGAAAGTGGAGACCTTCAAGCCTGAAATACTTATGAGGGCCCTGGAAAAGACCTCATATGTGACATAGAGGAGAGAACTACCAATCTCAGTATATTATGACTTACAGTCCTGGATACTGAGGACTAATCAAGTCACTTAAAAAAAAATTACAAGGCTTTGAGGCGGTTCCTGTGGCTCTCAAAGGAGTAGGGTGCTGGCCCCATATGCCGGAGGTGGTGGGTTCAAACCCAGCGCCGGCCAAAAACTGCAAAAAAAAAAAAAATTACAAGGCTGGGCGCAGTGGCACATGCCTGTAATCCTACCACTCTGGGATGTTGGAGACCAGCCTGAGCAAAAGCAAGACCTCATCTCTAAAAATTGAAAAACTAGCCGGGCATTGTGGCAGATGCCTCCCAGCTACTTGGGAGGCTGAGGTAAGAGAATCGCTTGAGCCCAAGAGTTTGAGGTAGCTCTGAGCTGTGACGCCATGGCACTCAATCCCAGTGCGCCCGAGTGAGACTCTATCTCAAAAAAAAAATTATAGAATGGGTATATTATGTGAAACCAGAAGACCAAAGAGCTCTGTGCCAGTGGAATGGTCAAGTCACTAAGTCACTTTTAAACTGTAGGGTTTCTAAACCTTTTGTGTTTCACATGCCCATAGTGAAGCTGATACTTCATAAAACAGAATAATGATTTTATTATTTTATTTTATCTTTTTTTGAGACAGTCTTACTATGTCACCCCCAGTAGAGTGCTGTGATGTCATAGCTCACAGCAACCTCAAACTCTTGGGCTTAAGCAATTTTCTTGCCTTAGCCTCCCAAGTAGCTTGGACTACAGGTGCCTGCCACAATGCCTGGCTATTTTTTGGTTGTAGTTGTCGTTTGGCAGGCCCAGGCTGGATTCCCACCCTCCATCTCCAGTATATGTGTCTGGTGCCCTAGCTGCTGTGAGCTACAGGTGCTGAGCCTTTTTTGAGACAGTCTCACTATGTTGCCCTTGGTAGAGTGTGGTGGCATCACAGCTCACAGCAACCTCAAACTCTTGGGATTAAGTGGTTCTCTTGTCTCAGTCTCCCAAGTAGCTGCGACTACAGGTGCTCACCACAACACCTGTTTGTTGCAGTTGTCATTGTTTAACTGGCCCCGGGCCGGGTTCCACCACAGTTGTGGCTGGCACTGTAACTACTGTGCTACAGGGCATCAAGCCCAGAGTAATGATTTTATTTTATTTTTTTTGAGACGGAGCCTCAAGCTATCCCCCTGGGTAGAGTGCCATGGCATCACACTCATAGCAACCTCCAACTCCTGGGCTCAAGCGAGTCTCCTGCCTCAGCCTCCCAAGTAGCTGGGACCACAGGCGCCCGCCACAATGCCTGGCCATTTTTTGGTTGCAGCCATCGTTGTTTGGCGGGCCCGGGCTGGGGATTCGAACCTGCCACCTTAGGTATATGTGGCTGGCGCCTTAGCCGCTTGAGCCACAGGCGCCGAGCCCAGAATAATGATTTTAAATGTGTGAAGGTTATATAACAATATAGCAGTACAACTATCAAAATACATACATATATATATATATATATTTTTTTTTTTTTTTTTTTTTTTGCAGTTTTTTGCCAGGGCCAGGTTTGAATGCGCCACCTCCAGTATATGGGGCCGGTGCCCTACTCCTTTGAGCCACAGGTGCTGCCCTATCAAAACATTTTTAAAACAAAATTTGTGATATAGTCATATGCTTTATTAACAGTATCAAAAGGTATCTAATAGCTTAGATAATTCTGAAGTAATGAGGATAAATGATACTGAGATATCTGCAAACTAGCATAAGAAGTTTTGTTCATTTCTCTTGGTTACAAAGTCCCAGGCACTATAACATTGCTGCAGTTTATATTCATAATCAAAAGAAATGCTAAATTGTAGTAGATCAGTGAAAATAAATTTGTGGGCTTTTTTTTCCTATCCATATTCATGGACTCTGAATTCTTTTCATGGATTCTGTGGGGATCCATAGACTCAAGGTTAAGAATCTGTGTTGAAGACTCTTGTTTCCTTATCCTGTTACTTTCCCTAAGGAAGTGAAGAAAATATGGTAGAACCCCAGGTTCAGAAGTATCCTTGTACCTGAAATACTGTCCCAACAAATGGAAGGCAGACTAACCCTATGTCTAAGGGAAGCTAGACTCCAGTCTTCAATTCTGACCATTTCAACAGGCCTAATTTGCCCTGTAGTGTCTGATAGGAGAAACATGTAGCAGGAGACAAACTGACCTGGTTTTAAAGTTATTTATTATATAATCCTGTATCCAGTCAATTTCACTTTAGCTTTCATGGTAGCAGAAGGAAATTGGTACAGGAGCAATCAAAAGGAAGAGATCAATATAAGAAAAGACATTGAGAAAGAAGAATCAATAAAACTTATATTTTATTTAGAGATAGCATCTCACTATGTCACCCTCAGTAGAGTGTTATGGCGTCACAGCTCACAGCAACCTCCAGCTCTTGGGCTTAAGCGATTCTCTTGCCTCAGCCTCCCAAGTAGCTGGGACTATTGTTTGGTGGGCCTGGGCTGGATTTGAACCCACCAGCTCAGGTGTATGTGGCTGGTGCCTTAGCCGCTTGAGCCACAGGTGCCAAGCCCTTGTAATTTGGCTATCTGAGGGTCTGAGAATATTGACCTCTACCATTTCCTTTACTCCCCATAGAGTAATTTTATTGATTTGTAATTTTATATAAAACTGTAATTTTAAGAACTCGTTGAAAATTACAAATATTTTACTGTTTGAAATGGTAAGCATTAGGGATACAACTTAACTGATAAGAAAAGGCATATGGCATTTTCAGAATTTCCATACCATATAATTTGAATTATCGGCCTTTTTTTTTTTTTTTGAGACAGAGTTTCACTAAGTCGCCCTTGGTAGAGTGCTATGGCATCACAGTTCACAGCAAACTCCAGCTCTTGGGTTTAAGCTATTCTCTTGCCTCATCCTCCCAAGTATATTGGCCTATTTTGGAATCTGGGTTTACCCATTGTTTTTCAGGCTTGAATCAAACAAGAGACTATTGACAATATTTCTTTTCTTTATTAAAGGTCTGTCTCTGGGGGAGATTATAGTATTTTGAAAGCATTATGTGTTGCTGGTCTGTCCTTGTCTGTTATCTCAGGAGTCTCAGCATGGCTTAGATGATTGCCACTGGCACAAAGTCCCTGATCCATATTGTTGACCTACTAGAGCTGCAATCTCACTTGCAGACTGGATTGGGAGAGGACTCATTCACGTGGTTGTTGGCAGGATTCAGTTCCTCATAGACTATATCTGAGGGCCTGAGACTGTTGACCTCTCTCATTTCCTTTATTCTCTATAGAGTGGCTCACAAGAGAGAAAGCAAGAGTATTCACAGTGAAACCACAGTGTATTGTAACCTAATCTTGGAAGTGACTTTACATCACTTAGATTTACTAATTCATTGGTAATTAAACTGCATTGAATCCCATCCAGATCAGAAAAAAAAAAGCCTCTGGTACTATTCAATCAATAAATATTGACTTTAAGACTATGCAATTTAATTGGAAGTCTTATATAATCATAGTTTCTTTTTTCTTTATTTTCCAGAATAATCTCGGTATCTTGTGGTCTGAAAGAGAAGAAATTGAAACTGCACAGGCTTACTTAGAATCATCAGAAGCACTATATAATCGGTATATGAAAGAGGTATGTTACATGTCAGATACATTTTAAGTTTTGTTTTGTTTTTGAGATGTTTTACTCTGTTGCCCCCACCTAGAGTGCCATGGCATCATAGCTCATAGCAACCTCAAACTCCTGGGCTTAAGCAGTTCTCTTGCTTCAGCCTCCCCAGGAGATGAGAACTACAGGTGCTTGCCATAACACCCAGCTAGTTTTTTCTGGGGTTTTTTGTGTTTTTTTTTTTTTTTCCAGTTTTTGGCCAGGGCTGGGTTTTTGAACCCGCCACCTCTGGCATATGGGGCTGGCGCCCTACTCCTTTGAGCCACAAGTGCTGCCCTGTTTTTTTGTTTGTTTTTTTTAAGAGACAGAGTCTCACTTTGACGCCCTCGGTATAGTGCCATGGAGTCACAGCTCACAGCAACCTCTAGGTCTTGGGCTTAGGTGATTCTCTTGCCTCAGCCTTCTGAGTAGCTGGGACCACCGGCACCTGCCACAACACCTGGCTATTTTTTTGTTGTTGCAGTTTGACTGGGGCTGGGTTTGAATCCGCCACCCTCGGTTTATGGGGCCGGTCCCCTACTCACTGAGCAACACGCACTGCCCTAATTTTTCTGTTTTGAGTAGAGACAGGTTCTTGTTTTGGCTAAGGCTGGTCTTGAGCTTGTGAGTTCAAGCAGTCTACCCACCTCAGCCTTCCAGAGTGCTAGGATTAAATTTTAAGTTTTGAATCAAACTGGTCAAGAATTGATAGTAAGAATTTTTCAGTCGTAATTTTGCTGTGGCTCTTCAGCGTTCCCAGGAACTTCTCTATAGAGCTATCTGAGAAGTCAATTATTGTATATTAAAGACTTTGGGGTTGGTGGTGCCTGTGGCTCAGTGAGTAGGGTGCCAACCCCATATACCAAGGGTGGTGGGTTCGAACCCAGCCCTGGCCTAACTGCAACAAAAAATAGCCGGGTATTGTGGCAGGTCCCTGTAGTCCCAGCTACTTGGGAGGCTGAGGCAAGAGAATTGCCAAAGCCCAAGAGCTGGAGGTTGCTGTGAGCTATGACATCGCAGAACTCTACTGAGGGCAACAAAGCGAGACTTTGTTTCTAAGGGAAAAAAAAAGACTTTGGGGTTTTAAAATTACAAAATTTCATGTATTTAAAAATTTTTAAATTATTTTTAAAGGCACAATGGCAACCTTAGTCTAAATACAATTATAAAAGAAATAGGCTCCATGCCTGTGGCTCAAGTGGCTAAGGCACCAGCCATATACACCTAAGGTGGCAGGTTCGAATCCAGCCCGGGCCGCCAAACAATGACGGCTGCAACCAAAAAATAGCCAGGCCTTGTGGTGGGCGCCTATGGTCCCAGCCACTTGGGAGGTGGAGGCAGGAGACTCGCTTGAGCCCAGGAGTAGGAGGTTGCTGTGAGCTGTGATGCCAGGGCACTCTACCCAGGGGGATAGCTTGAGGCTCTGTCTCAAAAAAAAAGAAATATTAGCTGGGCATGATGGCTCCCATGTGCTTATAATCACACCTACGTGGGAGATTGAGGTGGGAGGATCTCATGTGCCTGTGTGTTTGAGGTTGCAGTGACTTCTATGATAGGACTACTGTACTTCCAGGTTGGGTGACAGAGTAAGATCTACCACTAAAAACAAGAGAAATAAAAGAAAAATACGGGAATTATTATTGTAATATTACCCTTAAATATTATTAACATATTTTTTATGTTTGTAATCTAAAAATCTGTTTTCGTTTCCAATGAAGAAACATTGCTTAAAGCAGTGGTTCTTAACTTTCCTAATGCCACGATGTATTTTCATTGTTACAAAGGGGTCACAACCCAGGTTGAGAACTGCTGGCTTAAAGGAAAGCAAATGAACTACTTGAGCAAAATATTTGAAATCTTTAGGGGCAATGGTTCTCAAACTTTAGCATGCATCAGAATCGCCTAGAGAGCTTATTAGAGCACAGCAGGGTAGGCTTCTAGACTCTGATTTAGTAGTCTTTAGGGTGGGGCCTAGGAATTTACATTTTTAACAAGGTCTTGGATAATGCTTATGCTGCTGGTCTAAATACTGTACTGTACTTGGATAACGGCTGTTTCATGGCAATCGTTTTTCAATGACTTTTTTTAGCTTTGAAACCTTTTTTTTTTGAAAGTCTTGCTTTGTTGTCTTTGGTAGAGTGCCGTGGTGTCATAGCTCACAATCTCAAATTCTTGGGCTCAAGTGATCCTGTTGCGTCAGTTTTTTTCATTTTTAGTGGAGACAAGGTCTCCTGCTCAGGCAGGTCTTGAACTCATTAGCTCAAGTGATGCACCTGCCTCAACCTCCCAGCGTGGTAGGACTACAGGTGTGAGCCACCATGCATGGCCTTTGAAACCCTTCTGAAATGCAACATATGGAAATTGATGGAGCTTCTCTGGTCAAGTAAGTCAGAAGACCCAGTTCACTACAGATTCTTCCTGCCTCTCCGCTATGGTAGTACCAAAGAGGTGCTATAAGCCTTCTTGGGGAGCCTAGATTGAAAACTCTCACTTCAGGGGATCACATGAAAGTGAACTAGAAAAAATAAGTGTGTTTGGCTTGTAGAAGTGATTTTTGCACTTCCTCCAGTAGAGGGTGCTTGGTGTTTACAGTTTAAATTTTTATGGCATCTTTTTTTTTCTTAATTATAGATTGGGAGTCCTCCTCTTGATCCTACAGAGCATTTTCTTCCTGAAGAAGAAAAACTTACTGAACAAGAAAGATCAAAAAGGTGAGTAGGCATAGATATCAGCCCACAAAGGTATTTCCACATAGTGTAGATAAGGGGATTGTTCAAAAAAGCAGTGTTTCTCCCTTGAGACACTTACATAAAGGTTATAGAATGTGGATTTTAACATGAATAAAACCTCCATTTGCCACTTACTGATTACATGACCTGTTAAAATCTGAGACTCAGTTCTTTTATCTGTCAAATAGATAAAATAACCAAATCCAACTCAGAGGGTTGGTGGCAGGATCAAGATAAATATGTATGAAATGCACTTTTATATTATAAACAATTATGCAATTATTGATTTGGTTTTTTCTCGGCAGATTTGAAAAGGTTTATACTCATAACCTGTATTATCTGGCTCAAGTCTACCAGCATATGGAAATGTTTGAAAAGGCTGCTCATTATTGCCACAGTACACTAAAACGCCAGCTTGAGCACAGTGCCTACCATCCTTTAGAGTGGGCTATTAATGCTGCCACCTTATCACAATTTTACATCAATAAGGTAAGCTTCTTGAAGTAGTTAAATAACAGAGTATCTATATGAGTATAAAAATAAAACCAATAATACTTTCAAAATATCATCTTTTAAAAACAGGGAGCTTGTATTTTATAATGTACAAATGGACAGTAAAACACAGCCCAGTTTGCCACTGTGCTAAAATTTTGTAGCTTTTCATACGTGAATTCTTTTAAGTCTTAAAATACATGTTGCTAGCCCCTAAAATTACAGATTTTTTTTTTTTTTTTTTTTTTTTTTGAGACAGAGCCTCAAGCTGTCCCCCTGGGTAGAGTGCCATGGCATTACAGCTCACAGAAACCTCCAACTCCTGGGCTCAAGCGAGTCTCCTGCCTCCGCCTCCCAAGTAGCTGGGACCACAGGCGCCCGCCACAACGCCCGGCCATTTTTTGGTTGCAGCTGTCATTGTTGTTTGGCGGGTCCGGGCTGGGGATTCGAACCCGCCACCCTAGGTGTACGTGGCTGGCGCCCCAGCCGGTTGAGCTATAGGCGCCGAGCCAAATTACAGATTTTTTTGTAATTTTTTTGACATAGGCATGCTGATTCAATTTATTTCAGTGAGATATTACCTTAAGTTGCAGATTTTATCTTGTAGATATAACTTTATCTTTATGTAACAGTAATCTGGTAACTCTGAGAATTTGTCTGAGGAAGTTGACTGTTAAATGTGGGCTTTGATAAAAGCACGTGATGCATTTCAGTTACTTTTCAGAATTAACTCCTCTATAATTTTTCAGAGTTGGAAATATCTCTGCTGAGTTCCAAAGTTCCAAATCTTTATGACATACTTCTTTTGAACTTTTATACAAAGACAGTGTTTGATCTTCTTAGTTGTTTATCAAGATTGCTCAGATCATGTTGATGTACTCTTAATTGACCCATTTATTTGTTTAGTCCTTAAGAGTTTCTAAGTACAGAAACAATTTTAAGCCACCTTTCCCAACCAGACTTTCTATTAATTCTTAATAAAACATCTTGGCAATAGAAATTACTTTTATTTGTATTTGTATTTCACAAGCCTCTGAAATTTTGGTAATTCTCTGCTTACCAGAGTTCCTTCTTTCATCTCTTTGGTTACTTGCTGCCTTATCCTTAGGCCTTTATCTTCTCTAAGCCTTTTGTTAGTGTTGGTTCTGTCAATGTGCCCTATGATTAAAGTATTGTCCCACAGAATTTCATTCAGAAAAGCTATTAGCAGGCAAGAAAGTGCTGTGGTGACTGCAGCATCGCTTCTAAGACTTTGATCTAAGATCAAGCGCGTAAGTAACGCTATTATATATAACAGAGCATTCAGTTAACTCTAATTCTCATGAATTCATTTCATTGTGGTCATCATCAAAAAGTATTATCCAGTGCCTCTGCTTGTAGCACCTTTTTTATAGCTATTGAAGGCCCCTTATTCATTCTGCTTACCAACTTTAAAATTACACATTCAGTAAGAGTTTAATTGATACTTAAAACTCCATGGACATTGGTAGTACTAAGATATCTAGATATTAATTTAAAATGTAATTAAAAATTTAAAGTTGTTAAGCATTACATTTGTGGAGCATGCAGTAATTTTCATGAGTACCTTTCCCACGCTGTACTTTTGTTTTTTACCAAAATCTTGAGTTTTTATTACAACCAGCTAAGTTATATTTTATAAAGAGGGATTTGAATCATGTTTTTAAAAATGCAACTTGTCATTTATATCATTATCATCTTCATCTGATTCCAGTGATGAGGTTTTATTAGTTGGTGAGACCCCTACCTGCAGGTGCTAAAGTCCCACATTTACCAGCCACCTAGAGGGCAAAAGGTCCTCACTGTTCTGGCAGTGGTTGCTCATAGGGAGGCAGTCTGGACAAAGCTGAAGTGATATAATGGATGAAGGGTTGTAAAGGAATAATTGAATTTTCTTTATGTAGACTGTAACTTTCTTTTGACTTACAAGATTTAACACCAATATTTTGATCTATAAATGTTGCTGGGCTAATGTTGCAAATGGTGCCCAGATATTCTCAAGATGGCTTCTGAATTTGCCATAACGGAGAGAGACATTTAATTCTGAGGTTTTTAAAGTCATAGGTAACCATTAAAAGCCTTTCAGATATTACTCATAAAATACTCTATTTAGTGAGGGTGGCTTCCACCTTGAAGTTAGACTTTAACTTTATACTTCTGCTGGGTGGTCCTGTGACTTATATGACAAATACAAAATGTTTATATTAATGAGGAGATCGTCTCTAAGCATTTGAGATGTTCATTATGCCCACATTTGAAATATGAAGTCTTCAAATATGTTGGTCAATTTCATAAAGTTGTCTGTAGAAATCTGTTAACTTAAAACTTGGTGGGAAACCTTATATGTAAATTTCAAAGGACTCTGTTCTTACCAGAGTTTATGCTTTGAACAGTAGTATGTAAACAGGATCACTAAACCTAATAAAAGTTAAATCTTCAATCCTCTGTCAGAATGTAATGGGTCTAAAAATTTATTGTGCATGAATTTTGGCTATTTACTGAACCTAAAGGACTCTTAGAGGCAGTTTGAGTCTAGAATTTATTGGTTATGAAACACATTTGACCTCTGTATTTATTGGTTACATGAAGAACTCACTTTGAATTAGTAGTTGTATGTCAGGTAGTTTAGATTATTATTAAGAGTTTGGAGGCATTGTTGTTTTAATCTTTGAGGGAGCTTTTTAATTGGATAATATAAGTCTCTCATACCTTCTTAATGTCCTACCATTGTACAAGGGCCTCCTTAGTAGAGTATTTTACCTGATTTTATAGTTTTTCTGATATTGAAAAACTTCATGCAAGTATTAGTTGCGAATTTATATTCCTGTTGTTTATTTTCCCAACAGCTATGCTTTATGGAGGCCAGGCATTGTTTATCAGCTGCTAACGTCATTTTTGGTCAAACTGGAAAAGTATCAGCCACAGAAGACAGTAAGTTTATCTGAGCATGTTTTATTACATAGATTTTCAAAAACTTTTTTAAAAAAATTATTTTAAACTTGGGCAGTGCCTGTGGCTCACTGAGTAGGGCACCAGCCCCATACACCAAGGGTGGCGGGTTCGAACTCAGCCCCAGCCAAACTGCAACAAAAAAATAGCCAGGCGTTCTAGTAGGTGCCTGTGGTCCCAGCTACTTAGGAGGCTGAAGCAGGAGAATCGCCTAAGCCCAAGAGCTGGAGGTTGCTGTGAGCTGTGACACCATGACCGAGGGTGACAAAATGAGACTCTGTTTCTTAAAAAAAAAAAAAAAAAAATTATTGCTAGGGGCAGTGGCTCATGCCTATAATCCCAGCACTGTGGGAGGCTGAGGAGGGAGGATTGCTCGAGCTCAGGTTTCGAGACTCCCCTGACTCATGAAAAAAATGGAAAAACCCAGCTAGGCGCTGCAGTGAGTGCCTGTAATCCCAGCAGCTTTGGAGGCTGAGGCAGCCGGCTATCCACAGCTGGAGTCTGAGGTTGCGGTGAGCTCTGACACCACTGCACTCTGCTCAGGGCGCAGTGTAGAACTCTGTCTCGACCAAAAAAAAAAATTAAACTTTAGAAAGGTTACAAGAACAGAACAAAGAAGTACTATATGCCCTTTTCCTAAATTCACCAGCTTTTTATATTTTCCTCATTTCCAATCAAATATTTTTTTCTTCAAGCCATTTGACAGAAGGTTATATACATTAGGTTCCTTTACCTTTTATTTTTTGAGACAGAGTCTTACTCTGTCACCCTGGGTAGAGTGTCATAGTATCATAGCTCCCAGAAACCTCAAATCTCTGGGCTCAAGCAATTCTCTTACCTCAGCCTCCTGAGTAGTTGGGACTACAGGCACCTGCCACAATGCCCGGCTTTTTTTTTTTTTTTTTTTTGATTTGGAGACTCACCATTTCTCCCTCAGTAGAGTGCTGTGGCGTCACAGCTCACAGCAACCTCCAACTCTTGGGCTTAAGTGATTCTCTTACCTCAGCCTCCCAAGTAGCTGGGACTACAGGTGCCCACCACAACACCCAGCTTTTTTTTGTTGTTGTCATTGCAGTAGTCATTGTCACTTTAGCTGGCCTAGGCTGGGTTTGAACTCACCAGGCTCAGTGTAGGTACCTGGCACCATAACCACTGTGCTACAAGCACTAATCCTCCTCAATATCTTTTTGAGCATTTTTCCCCCAGTACTGGATTATGCAGTTCAAAATTGTGTATTGCATTCAATTGTCATATCTCATTAGTCTTCTTTCATCTGGAATAGTTCTTTAGCCTTTTTTTCCCCTTCTTCTATTACATGGCATTTTTGAAGAATACAGGCCAGTTATTTCATAGAATTTCCATCACTTGGGGTTTGTCTGATGTTTCCTTATGCCAAGATTTATATCAATTTTTTTTTTTTTTTGAGAGAGAGAGAGTCTCAAGCTGTCACCCTGAGTAGATAGCTGTGGTATCACAGCTCACAGCAACCTCAAACTCTTGGGCTTAAGCAATTCTCTTGCCTTAGCCTCCCAAGTAGGTAGGACTGCAGGTGCCCACCACAACACCTGGCTATATTTTTGTCGCAGTTGTCATTATTGTTTTAGCAGGCTTGGGCTGGGTTTGAACCCGCCACCCTCAGTGTATGTGGTGGGTGCCGTCACCACTGTGCTACAGGTACCGCCTATATCGAATATTTTTGATTGGAGAACTGCATGCATAAGTGATACATTACAATATTTATTTTTAATTATAATGTTTATTTAATCTTTAAAAAAATTACAGTTAACATGTATATTTGAGTCATTTAACAGATTTTTGTAAGTTCATAATTTTTTTAAACATTGTCATGGCTTTATTCAATGTGCAGTTGAATGAAAGTTTTAGCTTTAAAGTTCTTAAGGAGTGATTCTTTTCTTTCTTTTTTTTTTTTTTGTTGAGACAGAATCTTACCCTATGCCCTGAGCAGAGTGCAATGATGTCATAGCTCACTGCGACCTCAGACTTGGGCTGTGGGCATCCCACTGCCTCAGTTTCCAGACGCTTCTGGGATTACAGGCACTCACTGCAGCACCTGTCTGGGTTTTGTTTTTTTTTTGTTTTTTGTTTTTTGTTTTTTTTTAAATGAGTCGGAGGTCTCACTCTCGTTCAGGCAGCTCGAACTCCTGAACTCAAGCAATTCTCCCTCCTAAGCTTCCCAGAGTGCTGGGATTACAGGTGGAAGCCACTGCCTCTGGCTCTTTTTTTTTTTTTTTTTTTTTTTTTTTTGGAGACAGAGTCTTTTTCTATTGTCATAGGCTAGAGTGGCCTGGAGTCATAGCTCACAGCACCCTCAAACTCCTGGGTTTAAGAGATCCTCTGGCCTCAGCTGCCAGAGTAGCTGGGACTATAGGCAACCACTATAATGCCTGGCTAATTTTTCTATTTTTAGTAGAGACAGGGTCTCACTCTTGTTTGGGACTACAAGTGCCCACCACAATGCCTGACTATTTTTTGGTTGTAGTTGTCATTGTTGTTTGGCATGCCCAGGCTGGATTCGAACCTACCAACTCTGGTGTATGTGGCTGGCGCTTTAGCTGCTTGAGCTACAGGTGCTGAGCCTAAAGAGAGATTCTTAAGGAACGTATTAAAACATTATATACATACTGCCATACAAAGAACGTTAAAGTAGGAACAAAAGGTTCTACCAAGTATAAAACCTACCTTTATTTGAATGAAAATATTACCCACAAAGCTAAATAAATCTTAAAAGGTATCAGGAGAGCCAGGCATTATGGCAGGCACCTGTAGTCCCAGCTACTTGGGAGACTGAGGCCAGAGAATTGCTTGAGCCCAAGAGTTTGAAGTTGCTATGAGCTGTGATGCAGTGGCACTCTACTCAGGGTGACAAAGTGAGACTCTGTCTCAAAAAAAAAAAAAAAAATATCAGGAGACTCTAAGTGTTGTTTTCAAACCAAAGAACTCTAATTTTGATTGTATAAGAAGATGATTGATAAGAAAGTTAATATATAGATTTTATCTTACAAATAAGCATTTTAGATACAGAGTAAGGAACTCGGCACTTCTGAGAGATAACATGTCTACTAGCAAGTCAGGAAAGCCAGGATATACTCATCAGGCACCGCACAACCTTCAGTCTGGAGCAACTGGTAGAATTGCCAGCAGAGTTTACAAAAACCATGTACCCAGACTGTGCTAACATAATGAACTTGGGCTTCAAAATCCAACCTTAATGGATCAGTAATAATACTTGGTTCAGCTTGGCGCCTGTAGCACAGTGGTTATGGCGCCAGTTACATACACTGAAGTTGGTGGGTTCAAACCCAGCCTGAGCCAGCTAACCAACAATGACAACTACAACAACAACAAAAAAAATAGCCGAGCATTGTGGCAGGCACCCGTAGCTACTTGGGAGGCTGAGGCAAACCCCAAGAGTTTGAGGTTGCTATGAGCTGTGATGCCATGGCATTCTACTGAGGGTGACAAATGAGACTGTCTCAAAAAATAAATAAATAATAATGACTTGGTTCAGGAAACCGAGTGTCAGATGGAGGAAGGAGCAGTGGGAGCAGGAACAGCCTCAGCCAAGTATGACACCAGGAGCATCAAGACCAGACTACTACTACTACTACCAGACCCCCTTACTCATAAGTACTAAAAACATTCATCCAGTCATCCAGTGAGTCCTGGCATTGCAGATGCATCTATCCACACGAGCTTTCTGGTATTGAGAAGCTTGGTGCTTCTGTGTGGGATTCATCAGGGGACTCTCAGCCTCTTGCAGTTCAACGGATAGGTCTGGGCGATTCTAATTCCTTGGGCCTCTAGTCCCTATGAAATAGATGAATTTGTAAAGCTGTGTGATGTCCCTGGTAAAGAAGATCTAGAATGCTAGATCAATGCCTTTTCCAGTGTGCCGTGATTGTGGGGCTACAGCTATCACTGATCTTGAGTTTAACTCTTAACCATATCTACAGCTTCTAAGACCTGTGTTCCAAATCCTGACCAACCGAGAGACATTTCCAAACACCTTGAACTGCCAGTCTAAACAGATCAGAATCAAGGGATGTATAAGAAAAAAAAAAAGAAAAGAAATCCCCTTTCATCATTGGCTACATATTCTGTGTTCCATTGGAGTGCCTCCTCACCCATATTTCAGAAAGACAGCAGCCTGGCCTGTCCCCATGTTGTTCCCTTTGCACCAGATGGGAGCAGTGCATCCCATCCCGACTCCTGCCCGCCAGGTCCATGGTCCTCTTTCTGTCCTCATTGCACTCAGACATGTCATCCTAGAGGTCCAAGAGCATCCTCCACATATGGCCACGAGCCTGAAGAAACTTCCTATTCTCCTATAACAGCGGTTCTCAACCTGTGGGTCACGACCCCTTTGGGGGTCAAATGACCCTTTCACAGGGTAGCCTAAGACCATCCTGCATATCAGATATTTACATTATGATTCATAACAGTAGCAAAATTATAGTTATAAGGTAGCAACGAAAATAATTTTATGGTTGAGGGGTCACCACAACATGAGGAGCTGTATTAAAGGGTCGTGGCATTAAGAAGGTTGAGACCCACTATCCTATAAGGAGCCTGGCATTGTGATGAAACACTTTCCTTCAGCGTCTAAGTGAATCTTCTCAACAACCACAGGAGATAATGATGTCTGAATTGAGTGATTAATCTCAAAGCTCTTGAGATTAATAATGGCAGGAAAATCAGTTTTTAAAGTAATTCTCCTTGGAGATGGTGGAATTAGGAAAAGTTCTCTTATGAACAGATATACAGCTCTTCCATACAGTAGGTGTGAAATTTTTAAAGATTTGGAGGTGGATGGACATTTGGTTACCATGCCGATTTGGGACACAGCCGGTGAGGAGCAATTTTGAAGCCTGAGCATATCATTTTACAACGGTTCTGACCTGACTGTTGGCCTGCTTACTTTTAGTGTTGATTCACAAAACTTCCAGAACTGGAGTAACGGG